CCGTGGTCCGTGGCAGATGTTCCGCAACCGGAGTTGCTTGTTGGTACGAACTTTTCCTTGCTCGGCATCTGCGGCAATAAAAACAATGTGTCGGGTGCGTTTTCGCAAACATGTCTCACGTTGGGCGACACGATATGACGTTAAAAGGTTCATCGAACAACGTTCATTCTAACAACGATCTTGGCCGAGACAATTGTCCCGATCTGTGGGAGCTACTTTCGTCGAACACGTTTCCACCCGGAGAAGTTTACTAGGGAGTAACGCGAGGATGCCACCACGTTTAACAGGGGCCGGCATGCATCTGCAGAGGACACGAAACGTGAAACAAGTTACGGCTGTGCTCTAGCTGGCAAGAGTAAGCCAACCGGGCACACACACCTGCACGAGGAAAGGATCGCGGATCCCTCCAGTACAAACCTTGACGCGTATCCCGACCGTGGTTCGTTGATTCTTCTTCCCTATACTTGGTTTATTCCCGGCCAAGTCCACCGAGCGATTCTTGTTGGACAGCGATGAAGCCTCCATTTGCTCATGGAAAGGTCGAAGGGTTTCCGGGTCCGCCGACGTCTCATCGAAGGTCTTCCGCCACTCTGCCATGGCGGTCGACTTGGACGTAGTTTTGATACTTACAGACGACCTCTGCGGGAGTATAGGCTTCGTCTTCGCCCATTGGTTTTTACCAAGGGCTGCCTGCCGAATAGGGTTTGGATAATTGGTTGGACGATGAACGGGGTAGTGTTCGATTACCATACACTCCATTCTGCAACATCACGAGATTGGCCAGGCACTGTTGAATGTTGACGATGCGCACAGCGTGTTGAGATGCACCTACTTGTAGAGCTTCAAGTTCCAATCGAAACAATACGCCAATATGCTGTCGCAGCTACAAAACGCTTACATGTAGTAGCAGCTGCGTTTGGTGATTTTATCGGATGGGGTTCCACAGGGACAGAGATGTCGATTACGCTGCAAGGTTGCCGATCAATAATAACCAGCCTCACGAGGGTGCTTCGCCATTCACTCGTGCGTGCTGCAGGACTTGAAACTATTCCATCGATCGCGGTGCGTTCTGTCCTGAGCAAGGTGCAGTAGTCGAAACTCTTGCGTGGACCAAGGGGTCGTCTTCAGGTTCGGGTCGAGGTAGTTGAACCAGCGATCGCGGCACTGCCTGGCGCTTCTACTTGGGAGCGACAAGGCGATCTTCTTCCAGACTTGACCCTGCAGAGTTTACGTGTGGAAATGGATAGGTGTGGGAATGGACATCAGAATGAGCCATGAAAAAATATAGTGCGGCCGACACGTGTGACTGAAATGACATGTGTATCATCCGTGCTCGGTTCTGTACCGCGGCGCTGATGAATACTCGATGCGAAGTGTTAACTCACCTTGAGCTCTCCCGTCTGTTCTGCAACCGCTCGACCCAGCTCGGTGTCCTCGACGCTGCTGAATCTTCCCCGCTGCATGGAGATCGGCTTGGTGTCCTGTGATCTGGAGGTATGGAGAATCGAATGCAGAGTAAAGACGACAGCAAGGTTCACGAAGCAGCAAAACCTGCAAGGTAAAGCTTTCTCTCCGCGCAATCCTTCCTTGTACCTTTATTTCCTAAGGATCACCTGACGCCGTGACGCAACGACTGCCATACGGCCGTCTTGCTGTAGTCTACTCATTCTCCGAAATATGAGGGAGGCCAGGGACAAGCAAATACGTAGAAAGCAGATGAAACATGCATGTTTTTGCTCAAAAACGAGTGGAACAGCCCATTTGTAGCCCGCTTTACGCACCCTCGACATGCTCATGCTTCACACCTGGCATGTCCGATGCTCCTGCCGCCAGTAACGGATGCTGTCGAAGCCGCAGGTTTGCACGCCTTATTCTTGGCTCTTTCCCTTGCTTCCGCCGCCTCGATGTCCGCTGTGAGGTCCAGGTCGAGCGCCCAGGATGGAACATCCTGGAAAATTTCGAGGGAAACCAACAAAGGAGAGAACGGCAGTTGCATTTGGGGTCAAACATTGAATGGCCTCCGTCTTGGACTTGCTGAGCAAGCAAACGTAACAGGAGACCGTTCAAGCAAATGTGCAATTCGTCAGGCCTGAGTGTCTGGGGACATGAACTGTCTCCAACAAAGGCTTCAGTTCAGCCTCGCCGCCTCATTTGTAATATTCCAAAGATACCCATCCTAAAACTCTTGTAGGGGAAATTCCGTTGTGACCCGTCGCGTCGAAGCTTTGCATATCTATGCGTTTTTTGCATCAAAAAAAGGGCCAAATGCTACTAGCTACATCTCTTTTCTCGGCGTTATCTGGCGATCCTTTGAGGGAAACGTACATGCCAACCACTTGGCCACCAGCCAGTCGAGCTGGCCGGCGACATTCCGCCTGAGGGTCTGCGACGAGACAACGGCAGCAACCCTTCCAGCCAAGACTTACCGTAGAAGGCAAAGACCACCCCGTGGTGCTCACCTCTCCCCCGACGCTTGAAAGAGAAAGGTCACCACCGAAAATATCGTCATCTTCTTCACCGGACGCAGGCGCAACGTCGTCGCTGTTACTCGGTGGAGACGAAGAACGGGTGTCCTGGTTCGGCAGCGGATTCATAGCGCCGCGCCGTACAGTGTACACGACGTCCCAGGACACAAGAAGAAGGCCTCTTTGTGCTGTTCCTGCTCGTGAGGGTCGATCCGATGCCGACCGTCAGCTGGCCAATGCGGCCTTGACTATAACAATTCCCGCACGATGAAACGACGGCAAACGCATAGCGGGAGAGCAACACGAGAAGCGCTCAGAAATGTGCGCATGTTGTCATTTTTGAATTGAAACAAGGAAATACGCACCTCTGTTGGAGGAGCAGACGTCTCCATAGGAGGTAAACCTCTACAACTTTTGAAGAAGTCGCACGAGCTTGAACAACCCGTTCGAGAAAAACTGCGCGCCATATCAATTGAGGTCTCGTACAGTAGCACGAGATCGGCGTGCGAGAAATTCATATCCAAGCCGAATTTTGGTAAGTAAGCCCAGAAAACTTCGCTCCAGTTCGGATATCTACAGCTTGCCACAAATAACCACCACTGCTCGAAATTGCCAGCACGTACCGGTGTGTGGGGAGCGTCGCACCCGTGACAACAACAGAAGGCAGCCAGAGACGACTCTACTGTTGAGGTTCTCTCGTGAACTGTCGCTAGAGCGCCCGACTTTACACCCACTCCGGATGTTGCAAGTGCGTTAGCGCGTCACCGCAGTTATCCACGTGTGTATCCCCGATGAACAAGTGCATTGGAGGCTGATTTTCAAGGCGATTTCCTAACATCAGGCCAAAAACATGTAGGGTGTGAGTGATCCCACATTTTGAATTTTTGATGTGCGGCCCAAAAGGTAAATACAAAGACGCGTTCGCCGTTGATTTTTACGTCCCCTCCATAAAGTCTATTGAAAGATAGCCAAGCTCACGCTGTGCAAATCCCTTCTTTTACGCTCAAGTTGTTTTGTGCTTTTCGCGAAACGCCATTCCTTCAAAGAAGACTATAGTATGTAGCGCCGTCATTATTTGATGAGGAGCCGGGCCAACCCTTAAGATAATGGCTAGGTAGAGCCATTGTAAAGCGTTTCTCTGGGGTTCATGGTTGCCCGCGTGGTCTACCTAGCTAGGTGGATGACCTCGAAGAGCACGTAGTGCATATCAAGGCTCGGCAATGCAATCCTCGGGTCGGCTTCTTTCTCCCGCATATATAATGCAGAACGAACAGCCGCCCCCGCATCGTAGACGACTACGACGCCCGTACATTTAGTTGGGAGAAACAAACATGTAGTCTAGACTATAATAAAAATTATCGCCTTTGGGAGCACAAGCGCCATATTATCTGTGGGTACTTGTCTTTGAGAAGAATGCGATACGTCTACCGCCAGAAATGCCGTCGTCGACGTATTGTACAAGCCGCACGGTTACACGCCCTCGAAAAGAAGCGCACAGAGTTGCAGACAAAACGTGTGGTCTTGACCATGTAGTCCAGACACTGGTACACAGCAGTACAACTGCAACAGAGTACTCTAGTCTACATGTGCTTGTTGGGGTATTCTTCATTCTCAGCGAATACCGAACTCATCAATCACCCTATCTTAAGTCGGGTGTAGCCTACATCTAGACTAGCACCCGAGCTATGCTCTCCGCTATTATTGTCCCTACTCGGGAAATCCGTAGCTGTAGGTCTACAGTATGGTCTTTGTAGTCTTTGTAGACGTTGTCGACGCAAACCGCGGGGTTCGTGATGGAACGCGCACTATGCGCCTGCATAAGTAGACTAGTGGTCAATTGTCTCAGACGGGACATACCTGGCCACCCGCGGGTAAGCTGGATGAAGGCCGGAGGAATGTTCTGGGCTGCCGGGGGGCTCTTTTCTGTCGCTCTCCTCGTCGCTCGCGCTGGGTTGCCGTTTCAAATATTGTTCCACCGCATGTACTCGAATACATAAATACTGGATGAAGTCCTGGATCCGTTGTAAAAGTACGCTACTTTTCGGAAAAAGAACCATCCGTTGTGCTGTTGTGAGAAAATGAAAGAAAATGGTACATGTAGCACACTATTTTAAATGTGAAGACAACAACAACAACAGCTATGCATGCGTCGCTACCAATCTCAGTCTTTTTTCTGTAGATGTAGATAGTTTGTACAGCAGTCTGCAGCGAGTGACAGCCGTTTTATTGTGTGTTTCTCAGGGAAAAAAAAAAAAGCGTGGCAAAAAACCAGTTTAGGCGGCGTTCTGGTTTGGGGATACCGCTCTCGCGGAGGGCGACCCACATATGCCTGATGTTGCTCGAGCATTCCAACCGTACTGCGCACGGGGACAGGCAGGCACCTCGCTCCTGCTGTGATCCTCGTCTGGCATTTGGTAATACCTGGGCTGTTTTCCAATCTTGCTTCTCTATCCAGTCGTGCTGGCGAGGAACGCATACAGAACTCTGGGTGTTTCAGATCCCACGAGAGACAACTGCTGTCGCAGCAGCAGCAGCAGCAGCAGCAGCAGGCGAGCAGGAAGGCAGGCGCCGCCATGGGAGCGCCGAAGCTTCTCGGCGGTGTTGCACTGGTCGGCTCTACAGTGTTCTATATCCTCCCCATGTCCATGCATGTGGTGAGTTTGTGTCTCGTAGGCGTGTGTAGCAGCAGGGATTTCCGTGCTTGCGGTGACCACCGCCTGTGTGTAGACGCTTAGTCTACATATGCTTCTCCAAGTGCGGATCCAACAGTCTGGTAGGCAAGTATTGTTGTAGTCTACTGCTGTGCAGACTTTTAGCACAATCGGTGCAACCAGCATAGGGGGGGGGGGTTAGGTTGAGCTGCACACGGCCAAAGTGATTTAGTCGTTAATGTAGTCTAACACTCTTGTATTCTGGTATTCAGGATTCTCAGTACAAACGGTTGCAGTGCAATCTATCATGGGGGGGGGTAAGCAGCTGCACACGGCAAAACTGATTTTAATGTCTTGTCATCGGGGTGGTGAACAGCAGTACAACAGCAGCGTACAGACTCAATTATTTGGCAACAATGTTGCAGGACACGCTCGTCCCCTAAGATACGGCGGTGCCTCTGCGAGCCCGACCACAACAGCTCTGCAACTACAATATATGTATACGATAGATGTATCACATACGGCAGTCGCCCATGTTGAGACGGGTGCCATCAGTGACGCATGCTGCAAGTAGAGACTGGATACCTCCTACACATACGGTCCCACCGGAGGATTCGTGTGATGCACAACAACGTGCGTGTTGAAGGTTTTTCCGTCCCAGGCTGGGGTGAACCAGGAAGAGGTGTGATAGCAATGGAGAGGGGGTGCATGTTTCGCCCGTATATCTAGGCGTTCAACAGCACTTTCACTGTAGGAAGTCGCTGCAGCTATCCTCTCTTCTGTAGGTACAGAAGCACTGGCTGTGGTGCGAGGTCGGAGAGGCAAGCGCACAGTTTACTTTATTATCCTCACAGACGCCCAACCTGTCTTATCCTGACGGGTTACGGACGTGGCAATGCCTTCACAATACCGCGCCGAACCCACAGAAGAGAGTCGTTCTTGTGGTGCAAGTACTCCCAACAGCTGCACTTGTCATCTGTGCTGCTCCATTGGGAAAATAGAGGAAGAACTGGGACAATTAAGCCTACAATAGGGCGTGGTATACTCGGGGTTCTCCGCAACCCAATACAGTCGTTGTGTTGGTGGCACGAGTATGGGAGAGCCTGTCTAGGTGCGAGAAAGTTTCAGCAGCAGTCGGAGACAGAAGTGTCTACATATGTATGTGCTGTTTCACCCCTGCGTACTGTTGCGGCAGCTCCGTGTATCGTTGCATCGTACAAATTGTATCGGGTACCACTTTTTTTCTTTCGCCATCCTATATTGCTGGTATTCTGCACGTCGGCCCTTACATCTCCTGGTACAACTCTAGACGCGCTGTAAATTCGTGTGGTACACCTGGAATAGCCATTGCCTGACAGGTGGTTTAGTCCCGGTGGCCGCGGTAGTGCTGGCTGGTGCGTACCGGTACCACTGATGACTCTGCACTACTTGCGAACCGTGCAACGTCTTGCACGGAAATAATTCAATTCGTACTTGTGGTGGGTTGAACCGAGACACCGTTGCTTGCTGGTACCCTGGCATGCTAAGACAACAGTGACAGTACTGGTTCCCACCCTTAGCCGCTCATTTTTCGTCGTCTCCTCGCCACGTCGGATCTCGTTAGGATGGTTAAATCTGCGCCGTATCGTGTAAGACCGAAACCGGCACACGCACCAAAAATGTGTTTTCGAACATTTGTTTTCACGGCAATATAACGCGAATAGGCCGCCTTTGGCGGTCGAATCAGAGCTCTACGGAAGTCGGAAAGCTCTCTGAAGCAGAGCAAGTAGGAAGGGTCACTCCTTGCACGCGCAAGGCATGGTTAGCAAGCCTATCAGCGGCAAGTTTCATTTGCCGTGTGTTGGCCGTGATCTGTTGGCCTGAAACTCTAGTTTCTCCTATCGGTCGGAGGTGTTTTGCACGGGTATGCTACTCGCTCTTTTATCCATCTCTTACCCAAGCCCGGCCACTGGCAGCTATTTATCACTCGTGGTTTTTGCCGTCGAGCGCGTTTTTTCGTCCGCTTCGAGCCTTCAATCATTCTCTTCGAAATACGGGCAGTTCCTACCCCAAGGCGGTGTGGCCCGTCGGGGTGCAATGTGTTGTTTTTTTCGCTTCTCGCACGCCCGTTGCGTTGTCATCCTGTGGCCGCGGCTAGACTTTTGGTGGGGAGCCTAACACAATGCTTCCGCGGCATGAGTTTGTCAAGTCGGTGTGCCGCAGCCACCCCACTACCATTGATACACCTTTGTGCTGCACCCTGATCATCGTGTTCAAATCGCGGTCCTCTCGTGGTACAGGCGTTCGGCGCGGATATTCCCCCCTCCACCTACTTCGGTATGGCGGTGTTGATTGGGCTGCCGATCTTGGGTTTCATCGCTTTCGAGATGTGGAAGACTCTGGGCGATAACCGTCGGGTTCGAAAAGAGCGGCGCAAACTGGAGGCCATCAAGGCGGTGGGTTGTTCTTGTTGTGCCGTTCAAGCAGCAGTTTTGTGGCGTCCTCAACTCATCTCGCTTCGTTCATCGGCCGATGCGTTCACGGGGCGTCCTCGTGTTCGCCCGGAAACGTGTATGGATTTTGTAGGGAAGCATTCCCGGTCCAATTTCCCTTAGCCATACGGTGTTCTCGAAGACGCGCTTGCCTGTAACGAAGAATGGTGTGCAGAATTTTATTGAATTCGTATGGCGCTGCAAACATGGATCCGCCGACCGTCCCTGTGGAGGTGTGCGTGCTCCTACATGTACAATGTCTCGGTGGTCCGAACTGAATTCGCTTGACACTTTTAATCGTCCCCCCTATCCGTGCACATATCCGTTCATCCACCCTTCCCCCTCCCTCCGTTTGTCGAATCAGCAATCGTTTGGATGCATCCGGCCGCAAGTGCTTGACTCCTTCGTGGTGTTCCCCGTTAGGGTCAACAAGTGAGTCGGTCCCCAGAGCAACGCTCCCGGGGGCGTCTCTACATGGCTTCCCTGGATCTGCTTGTCGCTTGGCTCTGTTCTGTCTGTGTCGCGCGGGCGTCTGTTCCTTTGCTGGCAACTCAGTCGTTCGTGTCATGGGTGACACACGGCCGGTGGCGGTGTGTCTTGGATGTGTATCTTGTGCGCATGCCACCCCGGAACCGACCATAGCCAGAGCCGGTTTTCGGCGTTGGATTCTAGTGAAGATTCAGGCGTTTGTCATTGACCCCGGCCGGAGTTCTGTTTTGTCCCTGGGTTATTCGGCTGTCACCGTCGTCCTTCCTTCGCAGAACTAACCCATCCATCATCGGCCCACCCCTCCCTGCTTGCAACTGCGTACGTAAAACAATCGATCGCCGTCGCACCACTCGTTGATCTCAGGCGCGGCTGTGCTGGATCTTCTTGGGTAGAACTGGGAGAGCAGGCCGTGGCGGTCAATCTCTGCGCCGCTGTTAACATTTCGGGGGCGGTGGACACGGAGGGCCCATTGAGAAGGCTGTGCGGTAAGAGCCCGAACGCCGCAGTGCACGCGTGCCACGTATTATCTACGAGAGATCGAAACGTTGTTTTCTTTTCGGTTATACCGTGGCCTCAGGTGCTGCGTTGTTAGGCGGCACAGCGGTCTAGCGCTAGTGGTATTGATACCTGTTTCACGCATGGAAAGTCTCTAATGGTCACAGTTCATACAGGTAGAGTTTCTATCAGTGGTCTCCTTTTCCAGACATCGCTCAAGGGCAAATTCTCACTACAAATTCCGCTCCCCGCGCCCATAGATACTCGAGCGTTTTGTATCATTTCCGCCGAGTCGGGCCCGCTAGCTGTAAGTTGCTCCCCTAACAATCCCGACAAGTCCGTTGGTATTCACCACACAACTTCGACTCGCCATTGCGCAGTGTTGAGCTTGAACGTCGGTTGAAAAATCGCTGTTGGCCCACAGAGAGTTTCATGGTATGTCCATTGCCGAGGTTCCAGTGCCGATATTTCCGGCTTTGGTTCGAAACAGTCTTCCTCGATCCCTTCTTTTGAGAGCGGCAAACGATGGCCCTGGCTCGCTGTTGGAGAGGTTGCGCCTCCCGCTTCTTGGAACTCGTGTTTTTTCTCAGCATATGTTCTGCTTTCTTTTTGTGTTCGCTGATTGAGGAACTTTGAAAGTTGGTGGGAAAAATTCACGTGGGAGAGAGCGGCCACCGTTTTCATCGCGGAGAGCTTGGCAGTACCACTAGGGTTGGGAACTACCATAGACACCGGAAAGTGCTGAAACGTTCTTTGGCGGGCAGAAGGGAAGCTGTACCCTAGAAATCAAGGGGAGAAATCCGTCGGGGAAAAGGTGTGATTCTCACGAGGCGATCGCGGAAAATTTTGGCGTGTTGCAACAGCGAGATGAGAGCTTTTGACTCTTGCGTGTATTGCTGGAGTACGCTGGAGTTGGGATATGTACGGCAAACTGGGGAGGCACATGACTGCGTCCGCTCTGACCATTGCCGCAGCAGTCAAACATTCCTATTTTTGCGTGCGCAACGTCTTAAGTAGATCTGCTCTAGTGAATGCGTTTCGGGCGACCGCGCCAACAACGGCCGGCCCCCTCGGCGCCGGTCAGGACAACCGGTAGTCTTGTTTTCGCAAAAACCCTTGACGCTTGGCTGAACCATGAGGGCGAGACATCAAAAAAGGCCCCGCCGCGAGTGCGTTGACTAGCATTCCACGACAACAGTCGTTGCGCTAGACCATCCTCTTACGAAGTGACTCATTCCTTATCATTTCGATGTGCCGTCGACTCTGCGAAACCGTTGGCAGAGGCGACGTTTGGTTCGGAGCTGGACGTCATCGTGTACTGCGGCGGTGGGACAGCAGGACCGACGGGGTTAGCAGTGGGAGTAGGCCGCCAAAGTGAGTTTTTTGGTGATTGAGGTCCGACTGGCTGTGTGTTCCCACGTCTGTCATGCTGGAGATTTCACAAACGTAGCACTCGCGTCGCCGTGCCGCTTTGCTTGTTGACGTTCGTGCATGTGCGCGACGTCGAAATTAGCAGTCAGACTTTTCGTTGATTCCGAAAGGACTGGTTTGGCGGAGGTCACTTGCTCTACTTTTGAAGGAAGCAAATCTCGTTTCACCATTGTACTTTATTTTTTCCCTTTGTTGTCTTTCTCCTTTGAAGGTTCACAAAGTAATCAGGTGCGTCCCTGTCAATGGTTGATGTACACGCGCGGTTGCCGGCCAACCGTGCCTGCCATGTCAAGGCTGTTGTCTGTGTGGTTTTCCGGGTTGCTGCGTATTTGTTCGCAAGAGGCGCTTTCATTTCCGTGTGGTGCTGCAGGGGTGCTGCGATTGAAACAAGGGGGGAGGCATCTCTAGCGGGCGCCTTGTGGCGTGATAAGGGGTTGGTTTTTCGCAGGTCCTCTTGCTTGGAGATCGCTCATGCCAGCAAATTGCTTTTGTCGCACGGGTCATTGTTGTGCTCGTCGATAATTCTTGGATGAGCCACCCGATTGGATCAATCCCTCCACGGTAACTCATCCTCGTCGCCAATCGAGTTCTTGTGACTACGGTTTTCACCGTACAGCCTCAGCTCTGTTGGTTTCCTTCTCATTTGCCCCTTCCAACTCCTGCTCCACGCCGTCTGTCCCCGCTGAACTCTCGGTTCCCTTCCAGACTTTGGACCCTACCTAGCCAGCCGGGTGGCGCATTCTATCAAGGAGGCTATGAGACTGGGGATCCAGGGTCAATGACAAGCGGCAGTAGAATGGATATATAGGAGTTATTTTAAGCTGCATGGGTGTTTGGCAAGACCGAAAGACACGTTCGCCCAGAGTCTCTACCAAAGATTCGACAATGTTGTTTTTGGCAGAGGGGGCGGACAAAACAACGAACTAGCTCTCACGCGCGTTCGGAAATCTGAGCAGTCGCGTCGACGCTCCGCAATTTTCTCTCAAGTTCACCGGGACGTACGGTCCAACGAGGGGTGGGTCTCGATTGGAGCACAGAACCCTGCATTGCAGAACAGTACAACCGCCACTCTTTTTTTCGGGGTTGGTCGCTGGTCTTTGACAACTTTCGGCGGAAGTGGGTTGTCGAACCATGCTTGTAAACTAAATTTTCATTCACCGCAGCCTCGTTTGGCCAAGAGCTGTTGGCCTGGGTTACCTGCCCCGGCCCAGCGCAGGCAATATGTCGGGGATGCTGCAGGTATAGTCTATCGACATGCCCCAGAACGAAACACATCTGAGGAGGCCTGGGTTAGGAACGTTGGTTTTCCCTCACGGAGTACAAGGAGCCTCGGAACCGTTTGCCGTGCTTTGAAGAGTTTCCTCCTCCAGCTGCCCTATGGAAGAGGTGGCGAATCATTCCTTCAAGAGGGCCATTGCCGGGCAGGGGTCACAGGCCTCTGTTTATTACGTATTCGCCAGTCGAATAGGTGCGATCGGCGCCAGGACCTCTGAGACGAGCGCACATATCGGGTAATATGTTGGAGGTAACGCGATTGGGTGTCGTTGGGTCAGGGGGGGGGCAGATGGAACGAATCGCAGATTCCCGCGTGGAGACTGTACGGTAGCGGTCAACGGGTTACCGTGTTGTCTCTTGTTGTGAAATCCAAGAAGAGGCACCGTACGATCTACCGTGAACAAGATGTTTTTCAGCCATGGCAGCCATTCGAAGGCGAGTTCTCCCACAGAGCGCAATACAAGGAAGCAAAGTTGTTGCTGCTAGATAGTTGCCAATTCCGGGGTTGGTTTCGCTGTCGCTTACCAAACTGCCCCACAGCCCGTCCTAATACTGTCTCTAGGACAGAATGCACAAGTGGTGTTCCAAGTCATACTCTTCGTGCTTTGTCATGAAGAAAATCGCGACGTACGAGATCTCATAAAAACACACACAACCCCAGGGCGAATGCAAGACGCGAGAGGGACTTTGTTCCATTTTTCGCAAAAAAAAACTGTCCCCCAACCTCCTTTTCCAAATTTGCTTTCGGACACAGCGAGGATTTTAGTGCCTGATACTCCGAAAGTTATTTGGCCTATTCTCTACGAGCTGCCTGTTTTTCTTGACCTACACTCACGTATGCTACGAGCAAGTTTTCGGTCTGACCTCCATTCTCTTATCCTTAGCGTATGCTACAATTGTTCCACTAAATAGCAAGGGTTCATCGGTAACGTTACCGCTGGGAAAATCCCCCCTGGTGGGCGGTACCGGTATACCGCCTTCTATACCAGCTCTTTCACCGCCTCCGCCAAGTTACTTACCGCCAAAAACCACACGAACAGTCTACAACCGCCGAGAATTTACCGCCGAATGGCGTTACCGCCGAGAAAGCACCATTTATTGAAGTTTTACCGCCTCCGCCAAACTCGATACCGCCAAATCCGCAATACCGTCTACCGCTGAAAAAAATATCGCTTCATGTCATTACAATCGAAAACGCGTGGGCCTGCAAACCCTTGGGACAACGCGTACATACATAGCTCGAACTGCACACGGTATGCCACAATACATTAGCATTGTTGCAAAAAAATGGACTTGTTGGATGCAACTCGGCTACCTTCACGAACTATCAAGAGGTCTTCGACCTCCTTTCTTCCCCAGCTTACCGTATAATGTCTTGAGAACGCATCCCGGGGGGGATCATTTGACTCTGGTGAAAGCAAACACCGGGGGTTCATCAAAGTTAGACGGGCGATCATACAAAAAAATATACACGGGGCGAGAAGTCCACGGGGAGTGTGGTCTCTTGTCTGCTGTGATTGATGCACCTGCTGTTCAACACCCCAACCAAGTCAACAAATACGGCAACTGGCGCACACACGAGAATGCTGCCTGGAATTGTGTCCGTGGGTTTGTGTGCGACGCCACCCAATAGATTGCCGGAACACGAACACCCCGGGGCTACAGTAGAGGTCCCTATTTAGTGCCGGGGTGTGCGCCGAAATTTCACCGGCACTAAACCGGACACCGGCACTATTCGAAGTACAGAACGACTTGGTATTCCAGTTTGTGCGAGCCGACAACACCGGCACTATAACGGCAACCGGCACTATTCAACCGGCACTAAACAGGGACCACGACAGTAACGCAAAGGCAGATGGGTGAAAAAAACAATTTTCAACAACCCTGGGGCCAACTCAAAGCGATTCTGCTGCCCGAATACTTCCCACCGCTCAAACAATTTCTGCCACATGGCATTACCGCCACAAACTCAACGCCATAGGTCTTACCGCGTCCGTCAAAGTCGACACCGCCAAGGAACGCGACACCACGTACCGCCTAAGCAATGACCCCCTTTGGGCACAGCCGCCGAAGAAAGGTAAGCCTCATGACATTTCCCGAGCGAACTGTTTGAAAATAGCATGCTTTTTAGCACGAACTGCACAAGGTTGTTGCTACAAGGCGTGGGCTTTGTCGCAAGCAACCGGCTGTCGTGTCTCACCTACCTTCACACACTAGCTGACTATTTCAGGAGGTCTTCGATCTTCTTTCCCAGTTTCGTCTCCAGCAGTTCCTCCGTGATTTCCCAAAGGCGAGGCGGGTTGGCAGGGTCCGACCCCAGCGCCGACGGCTTGACTTGCTTCGTGTGGGACCAATATTTTCCCGAAAACTCGGGACCGGCGAGTGCTGGATCGATCGCACATCGAAGGGTGGTCAACGACCCCGTGAGGGGGGACGCCAGCACAAAGGTCCCGAGAGACTAAACCACTTGAAACATGCGAGAGATTAAGCGGCCGTCGGTAGCGTTCCGAAAGAGGTCCGTGTTGACCACCCCTGGATGTAGCGCGTACGTGTTGATCCTGCGATCGCTCAGGTGCCCGGCGAACCCCTTCGCGTCGAGGACGTTTGCGAGCTTGGACCGACCGTACGCAATCATGGGCCCGTGCTCGTTGGGCTTGGTGTAGTTCACGTTGTCCCAGTCACAACCGCCATGTTTGTGCGCCACGGAAGAGAAGAACACCACGCGGCCTCCATCGATGATCTGCTTTCCCATCAATCTGCTCAGAAGGTGCGTGACGAAGTGATTCACCCCGATCTGTTTCTCGAGGCCGTCTACGCTACGCTTCTCGGTGGGGATGGCCATGATCCCGGCGTTGTCGATGAGAACGTCGATTTTCTGGCCGGACGACTTCAGTCTCTGCGCAAAGGAGACCACGGACTGCAGCACTCCCAAGTCCAGGACCTCCACTTGCACATCGACATCGCTGAGTCCCTCAAGCAGATCAACGCCCTGAACACGGATCGGATAAATAGGCGCCCAAGACATTGGAAAGTTGTCTCTCGTCCTTAATGCAATCTAGGCCGCGACCGTACCTGCAACGAACGAAGCTGTTGTCGCGCAACTCTTGGCCGTCAATCCGGCCAGAGCGGTGGAAAGGGGAGTCGTCCCTGACAGCACACAAGCACTACCCATGGCGACGGACAAAGCAAGCCTCGAGTGGTACAGCCTCACCCCTACTAGGGGCACACAGCTACATCCCAAGGGGGACAAGTACGAGTGGCAACAAATGATGGCATCGTACCACCGTCGCACGTTCTTCCTCGCGACTTAGCACCGTACTCCACTGTCTGCAGAAAACGAAGACGGGCGTTACGCACGTGCCTCCGCGACCGGCTTCGCCAGCGCCTCCTTGCGTGGCTTTTCGACCGCTTCCCGGCCTTTCTCTTCGCTCCTGCATGCTAAGGTGACCTTTGCCCCCACCTGGGCCAGCTCGCGAGAGGTTGTGTACCCCAGCCCGGTGTTGGCACCCGTGACCACGAAATGCTCTCCGCGGAGGTCTTGGTTGAGGGCCTTGGCCTACAGAAACGATGCCCTCCCGCCCATGGTCGGACACGCGAACCCTTCAACTACCTGTGTAGATTAGGCCGCATGCACTCGAGGCTGATTGAAGTGGCGGAAGGGGGGCACGGCAATGTTGACGGACAAGCGTGAAGGACACACGCACAGAAGCAATGCCACAATAAGGTGAAGGGGCCGTATCAGGTCGGTACTCCACTCCTAGGCTGAGCTAGGACAAAGATTCCTTCACGTTTCAGCAGGAGGAAATAAATTGCCACTTGTCCTACTTGATGTGTGACTGAAACGCACGAAGATATGTATATGGACTGCCGTGCTCTTTGGTCTGCTTGGGTCCGCAGGATCATCTATAGGTTGGTAGATTAGATAAACAATAATTAGACTGAGAGGCGAGGCCACGCCGTGTTATCGCTTCATCCCACGAGGGGAAGAAAGGCAATAAATGTCGGCAACGCGAGGAGGGCAATCTCTCAACAACTTCCAAACAAAACAAGGATTCTCCCAAAGTACTTCGAATATGGTATATTTAAAAGCATTCTGAAGAGTCTCCCAAAGTACTTCGAAATACAGCTTCAACAGCACCTTGAAGTGCAAGTCTATCGTTCCTTGCGAACCACGACAAGAAACAAGGCACAACCAGAGCCTCTCTTGTAGTAATGCCCGAGCAGAACAATCGAGCCAGTTGAAGCCTGTAGAAGCAACAGTCTAATCACTATCACACAATACAACCAGCCGCGCTACAGCAGTACAAGACCCTAATATAGCACCCATACAGGCCGGGAAGACGATTTCCACTGCAGATGGCGCCCGCACTTAAGGAGCGCTTATATTGGCCAAGGCTCGATGCTTATTGGCTGTCTCAAATTGAGCACCTGTTCTTATTTCAAAGTTCTTATTTCGAGCAGGCATATCCGTATGATACACGGGGTTCTTGGTTTTATTTCTACGCCAGCCCCATTCAGAGGATGTTCTTTTTTTCTGGCTGCATTCAGCCTGACACTTGAGAGCAGCATGTTAATATGCATAAAAATAGTATAATCATAGAAAACCGCTCAACAGAGACCTCTGGAATCGACGTACCGCAGATCACGATAGGGTAGAGTGCCTGAGATAATGACCCAAGTGAGCAAACACGTTGAAACATTTACAGGTTCACAAGGGTCACGTTCGGCGTGACTGTCCTCTCCGCTCTACCTACTACATTGCGCCCTGCTTGACGAACGCCGGACCTCCTCCCTGCTCTACAGTGCGCTCCCCTCAAGCAAGCTCACGACCCTACCGCCGCACCCGCATCTCTACTGTCCTTGTCCAACGGCATTCATGCGGCGCTTCGGTCTACATGTAGCTCGAAATGCACACGGTAGTCGCAAAAGGTGGCGGGTACGCTCCTGAGACGGCCGAGTGATCAGCTTACCAAAACAGCCCATGCTCAGCTTTACGAGTACTCCACATGCAGCAACGAACTATCGAGAGCAGCGGGTTTAGACGCTTGAATCCGAAAACCGGTGGGTGCGGCGAAGGAAGAAGAGGTGACGGAAAGCTTTCGTCGCCCCCGCGTCGACTCGATGGCCTCCCAGTCTGACTTCTCGGGGGCAGTTGCCAGCAATGACATAATCTGTGATGGCCTCTAAGCGCCATCAAGAATTACACCTCCCTTCATGTTTGTTTGGCAGCTGACCGAGCTCTTCCGATATTTCAAGGGGTAAAGACATGGCTCTCGTGCATGGCACGCAGCGTGGCAGGCACCCCAATGACACGCAATGAGGAGCGNGCTTTCGTCGCCCCCGCGTCGACTCGATGGCCTCCCAGTCTGACTTCTCGGGGGCAGTTGCCAGCAATGACATAATCTGTGATGGCCTCTAAGCGCCATCAAGAATTACACCTCCCTTCATGTTTGTTTGGCAGCTGACCGAGCTCTTCCGATATTTCAAGGGGTAAAGACATGGCTCTCGTGCATGGCACGCAGCGTGGCAGGCACCCCAATGACACGCAATGAGGAGCGTGCCTTGTACAACAAAGCTAAGCACCTACCCACCCTCCCCCCTCCGCACCGACAAAGGTAAAATGTGAACGCGGCTCCGAGTGCGAACAGCCGGGTTCACGTATTTGCGGGATGTCTGTTGCACAAGGAGAGGAGTATTTACATGGCTGAGCCTTGGGAAAGTAGAACGAAGATACAGGGAGATGTTTGAGGCATGGGATACCAGCTAGGAGAGAAGACGGTATAGCTGTACTGCGACATAGAACGTGGGTTGAAGAGGCGGGGGGTGACATCGATGGGATAGATAGGCTAGGGAAAACTTTTTGAGACACATTTTTTGGTAAAAGTAGGAGGGAGCGATTGGCCATCGGTCTTCGAAACAATACTACTAAAACCGGTCGCCCCGGTGGTCTAAGAGTGGTATCCTCGAAATCCGCTAGTCGCAGAGGTCGTGAGTTCGAATCCCCACGGGGTGAAAAATTTACGAAATTTGCGGGTGAAAGCGAAACATTGCTAAAAAAGCTCTCGTGGGTACCAAACTTCGACTTTAGCACCGTTGACGAGGGAAAGGGACGGCTGGACCCTTCTCGCGATAAAAATAAAATACAGCACGCACCGCAGGAGGATGGTGGGGCATGAAAATAAATAAAAAGGAGAAAGAACGCCCTGGTGTTTACCCCCTCCTGTGTGACCCTGGATGGTTGTAGTTGTACGAAAAAATACACTGAAAAGTGTAGTACTCTACATACGCTGAAAAGTGTAGTACACGTCTCACCACGAAAAATGGGGGAACTGTCGCCATAATAAACAGGACGAAAACACACACACACACACACACACTCGGTCCTCTCGAGGACGCGTAGTCAATGGTCCAACCACTAAATATGCAAAACATAAGAGTAAGCCCCAACCCCCCGCCCCCCTCTGCACCGGGATTATTTGAAACGGGGATCCCCTTCCTCGTCGCTGATTTGAAACTACCCGGGGGGGGGGTGTCCGTGAGTTACCCCTCACCACCTTCATGAGTTCTTATCTTGCAGCTGCCACTTTTGGGAGGTCTGTTCGTGTTCGTAAGCGCTTTGTTACACCACAAATACGGGTTCTTTCTCTTAATAATACCACGTCGCAACTGAGCGCGTGTTCTTATGGCCAAGTTCTTAAATTTTGAATGTGTCGAGGCTGCATTTCTTAACTGCTTAGTCCTTAAGTATGAGCGCCATCTGTATAATAATGACTGCACACACCCATTCACGCACCGGGAAGCACTTTCTTGTTGAGCGGAGTACGCGTAACGCACCACTATTTTTTCGATCCAAACTTGAACGTCAATTGTGTACTTGCCAAACACCACCCAACTACAACAGACAACAGCAGTAGTCTACCGCAGTGGACCTGTTCAGTACCGTATATGACACAAGATAACACACCCCCTGGACCGATTTTCAAAGCTCGATTACTCCACGAAGAGGATGCATAAATGAAACAACACATTTTTGGAAAGCTCTCGACGAGAAAGTTTCAACGCCGTCGTTTTCGGCGCTGTGACTGTTACTGCAGTTGAGAAATCGAGCTTCGAAAATTGGTCAAGGAGGTGTGTTATCTTGTGTTATATACGGTAGTAGTGCTGGGTCAGAATCTTGGTCAACGACTAGGTCGCCTATTTGCCAATCAACTTACTGGGCGTCACAAACTTGAACAAAAAAATATGAAGAAAGTTACGTATGGTAGTCCACATGTAGTTGATTACACTGGCTCAGAATCTTTTGGTGGATGGGTCAGAATCTGGGCGGTGACGACGTTCCAACTTTCACACAGCAGTTCCGACCAACTGCTGCTTGGTACGTATGAACCTTAGGCCGGAGACTATGGCTGTTCAGGGTGTGAAGGCTTTCTCCTGTGCCTTAAAACACAATACACATGTATACGGCGGCGTGAACCATGCAGCCTCCTCACGCCCAGAAAAGACAGGGACGCAAACAACCAGCTACTAGCTGCAAACAACACCAGCTGGCCGGCTGGCCACGTCACTCACCGGTTAGACGCGTTGCTTGGGCTCTGTCCCTGAAAGCGAGGGCGGGAGGAGAGGTTGGGAAATGACCCGGAGAACTCACCGGGCTGCTCGCAGAAAGGCCTCTCACTGCTGTAGATTCTAGACTAGATCTACTCCTTTTTTGTTTTTTTTTCCCCATCATTGGACTCTGTCGTCTGGCCCTTTGGCCCCTATCCTCCACTTCTACTAGCTAGACGACCCAACCGGGGTCACACAGGAGGGAGGGGTTGGACTCCCTCCTGCGGTTCCTGCATGAGATATTTTTGCGCGAGAAGGGGACAGGAATCCCTTCCCTCGCGACTTACGAAGTCGATTAGACTATAGTAGTTTACTAACAACGAGCTTTGCAGTGCGTCGCGTTCATCCTAGACCAGGACTTATTTAGTGAGAAAAAACTCACGCTGACGGGACTCGAACCCATGACCTGGCCCTTAGCAGACTGCGAGGGTACCCACCAGACCACCGGGGCGACCGGAAGCTGTCTTCGTCTGGTGTCTGGTGTCCGGCACTGCTGTAAATGGCATGCCGATTCAAAAATTCAAACCAATCGGGGGGGTGACGGGGACGGACGGATGACGTGGGCGGACGGGAAGAGGTTCGTATTCCACCACATTCCCAGCCAGCACACCGGGCATCATCATGTCATGCATTGAAAGCCGGATGGCGGGGCTCTTGCTTTGGCTCTGTGTGATGGCGCTGGGTTGCGGCGGTGCTCAAGGGTTTATCTCTCCCTCCATGGCACTCAAGTTGCCAGCAAAATTCCCGGTGGTCATTCTGCCCGGCTTCGGCAATGATGCGCGAGACTGTGAGTTTCCTTGATTGTCAAAATCCTCAGCAACAGCAGTCTGCTCTCTGTGCCCCGATGATTTGCGAGTGGTTTCTCGCCTGACTGTGTGTTACTCCTCCTGGTTAGCACCGGCTCGCTAGCCAGCTGGCCAGTTTAACGATGTAAGGACGACAGCCTGCCCGGGACACAACATGCGAAATGTAACTTTAGTTCAGTCCGCGGGGTCCCCTGTCATCCCTGTCATGGTGATTCTCATGCGCAAACATAAAAACCTGCGCTCAACCGCATGCCAGCAATACATTGGTGGCTTTGGTTTGATGATCCGTGCAAAGCGTCGTTATTGTGAACTATCCGCGTTGCGTGTGTTGTTAGTTTATATATTAACTTCGAAACTGTAGAGTTACGCACAGCTATTGAATGGACTACGGTCGACGGTCCTCAATAGCGGTAGGTCGTGACAAGAGGCCTTGATACCGCTATTGAGGGCACTGCAGCTATTCCTCAATAGCGCGGTAAAGTACCGCTATTGAGGATGAAAGCGGCAACAACACTGAAGCCATTCCTCAATACCGGTATCAATGCCGCTATTGAGGATGAGAGCGACAACGAAGCCGTATTTTTTCACACACACTAACGTCGTTTGTGTCATGTGTTCCCTACGCCATTGCGTCCAATAATACACTCGTTGAGCATGTTCAAGTTGAGTGTAGTACTGACACCAGATCAGTACTCTTGCACGGGTGTACTGTGCAGTATTGAGTCGGCTCAATCAGAAATCCTCACCATCGTGCAATACTGCTGTACTGTACTGTACTGTAGTACTGTACTCCACAATTACACCCCCACTAGCGTATCGTAGCAGAGCAACGAACCGTACAGAAAACAGAACAACAGCAACGTTAAATCAATGAATCATACGTGCAAACAGAACCACACGCAGCGTACACAAAAAATGTTAACTGGAGCAAAAATTAAAGAAGAGCAGACACTCCTACTGTAATGTGCTTGACCGACGCGCCCATGATTTAAGAAACATTTTCATGTCTGACTGCTGGACGGTTTTTTTTGGCGTCGTGGGCTGCGAGGAACGACATGTTGGCCTTGCGAAGAAGATGCTCAACCTCGTCATTTCCAGCCAACTGTCTGTGCGTGCTGCTCTATCTAGTGGACCGAAAAATTCCGACAGATCCGAGTACGGCGGCTGCTCCATCAACTTCCTACCCCCAGCACTCTCAACCTCCCCCGTGTCGTTCAGTTCCTCGTCGTCGGAATCGGTGTCCTCTGTAAAGTTGTCATTTATCTGCTCATTGAGCGCCGCCTCCGCGTCCGCGGCGAGAGCCTTAACCACCTCATCCTGCTCCACTAGCTGCACGCAAAGACTCGACCTCCTCGATGGCCATGGCTGCCAGGGTGGCGGGCTTACTCATACCCCGGACGATGCCGAGGTACGAGAGTACCTCGCACATCTCTGGGTCTTGTTCACCACCTCCCCCCACCGCCACCTCCTTGATACCCATTATGAGGTCATTGAGTGCAGCCGTCAGCCCCGCCATCCCTAAATCCTTATGACCTTTGATGCTCCCCTTGCCTTTGTCTTGCATAATATTGTCCTTTACAGCGGCACAGTGCCGCTCTGAAGGATTAATTCCTCAATAGCGGCACAAGTACCGCTATTGAGGGATGCAATCGTGCCAAGCGATTTTGATGCCGTTATTGAGGGCATCTCGCTATTGAGGGCACCCCTATTGAGGACCGTCGACTGTATGTATGTAGTTCACATCCTTCCCGCCTATAGTAATATCTGGCGGTTGTCTTGCACGGGCTTTTCTTAGGCCAGTTGTTATGGTAGATTTTCCCAGATTGGCATCCGGGGGGCCGACAGTAAGCCACCCCCAAAAAAGAGGAGGTCTGCGTACTGGATAGCAAGCAGAGCCCACCACGGCACTTCGTGACGTAGTCCTCGCCTCACAGAGACCTGTTCCTTATCAAACCACCGACTCTGTACAGTCCGCTGCTGTAAGGTTTGCGGAGCCAAGTTTGGGCAGCTAGAATGGAGTATGCACAGAGTAGCCTCGGATATGAAACAATTTCACAATTCCCAGATTGGAACTTCAACCAATTCCAGTTTGGAAACCATGAGGAATTCCCACGCAGGATCGTCCGAAATTCCCAGATTAGAATCCTATTTTCCAAGCATGATGAACACACACTCCACCCCAGCTCCCCAAGCTTGGCTCCGAGAGGCTCAGAGCAATGTAGCCTACGGCCTCGAAGGTTTGATCGCACACGTGTTTCTGTGAGGGGGGTACTGATTGACAAAGCGCTTTTGTGTGCTTTCCCCACCAAGTGCACAAAACTCCTGCTGACGCATGGGGATTTGGATGTAAAAGGCGTGATATCGGGATTCCCAGTTGGGAATTGTTTCCGTAACAACTGGCCTCAACTGAATTGCAACGTCATTTTCGCCGTCCCAGATACGAACCCACTGGACGGGGGGGAGGATAAGGCTTTTGCATCAGCCCTGGAACGTAGGGGCTTGAAGACCTTCGTCGTGGCAGTGGAACGGTCTGATTGGCTCAAGGTGGCCAGCGCCGTCCTCACGCTAGACTTTTGGAAAGGCACCTGCCGACCTAACGGACCGGCCTATTCATGGTATTTGCAGAAGGTGCGATGGGTCAACGCGGCTCAAGGGTCGGTGTTATACTAAACTGTTGGTTACCCACACAATATTTCGACGGAGTCGCGTGCAGAAGCCCGTGCCCGCTCTCAGGCAGTTGTTCAATCAGGAGCTTCGGCAGGCAAATCCTGGGGTACTCGCAAGGATCCAATGTTAATTCAAATCATCGAGTTCGCTTGTTTAGGTGTTCGGAGTTTGGACTCAACCATTGAGGCTACACACCTCGGCAGCCAGGGAGCGACCATCCTCGCCACCCTCACGGCCGGACACCTGAGTTTCCATAGGATAGGTTCTTTCAAAACAATGAAGGACGTCGCAACCCTTCGTGAGGTCACCGATGGTCAAGGATTTTCGACCGATCAGAACCCGAAGGCAGCAGCATTAACATGTAGAAACTGCTGGCTTCGCTCGAGCGAGAAATGTTGATGAGGGGGGAAAAGGCGGGCCAGGGAAGAGTGTGCTGTTGAATAGATATTCCGTTGAGGAGTTTGGCCGGCTGCACGTTGGATGGTAGCGTGTACTCGCCGGCTTCATCACTACCCTGTTAGCGCCCTTGAGAGCGGGTGCTACGTTCCTTTGCGTGTGTCGCAGCAACGATGACAAGCCAGTATATCGTGTGGCTGCCGGCCTTCATATATGTATATTTATATATATATATATTTTGCTGAACGGCAACACCTTGCCCAAACACTTCGGACAAGCGACACGCTTCACCAGGTCCGACCAACTCCCGACCATGTCAACCAGCGTACAGCAGTACGGCAGGATTGAACGATGACGCTGCCAACTCTTATTACCACGCTCTCCCCTGACCCTACCGAAAATGTAGGTAAAGGAGACGGTGCGCACTAGTCTGGAGGAGACGGGAGCGGACAAAGTTCTGCTGGTGGGACACTCCGCCGGGGGGTGGTTGGCGAGAGCGGCGCTAGCGAAAGGGATGTGGGAAGAAGGCGTCGCCAGCGAAGATGTCGTGGCTGGTGAGAGATGAGGCGCGGTAGGGGGGGGGGGGGGGGG